TAACACTTGAGCTTCATTCGTTGCTATCTATTAAAGTGTTAGCCTACTTCTTTTCTTGTACTCAACTTTCAATTTATCATTCATTAAGAAGAGAAGATTTCATTTGTAAAATTATTTGAATTGTGGGTCGTGTTGAAGTCCCTTAAAGATCAACATTGTATAAGTATCGGTGCTTCTTGTTGTAAGTCACCGTGTAGGTCATATTGAGATCTCATAAAGCTCAATAGTGTGGGTCGTGTTGAGGTCCCATAAAACTCAACATTGTAAAAGGATATGTGCTTCTTGCTTGTAAGTACCGGAAGTATTGTAAAGAGTTGGATTGCACCATAAGTGAATCAACATAGTGAAAAAGGCAATGCTTGTGCCAGAGAGTTTGGTAACGGGGGATATAGATCATTGCATTGGATCGAACCTCCATAACTATATCGTTTGCACTCTGTATCCCATTTACTTATTGCTATTCGTGCAATTACATTATTCCACTTGCTTGCTTATTTGTACTTAGTGACTTCATTTATTTGCATTTATTATTTGATTGATCTACTTGCTTCAACTTATTTACGATTATTAATCTATCAACGTGTTTTTAACTTATGTGATTCTAGTTAATTATTCGAAAAAGTTTTAAAAACCAATTCACCTCCCTCTTGGTTAGTTATTCTTGGGCATTCGATCATTCTATATTATTTGTCACTTGTTAGAATATTTATCACTTAATTGAATAACTTCCAAACCTAAGTTAATATGTTAATTAATAGAAGTAAAACATAATCACAAAGAGGTGACATGCAAAAGAAAATCAATCATCACATAAATCTATTCTAAGGTTTTGACTGTTTGATTTTTTTTTTTTTTTTTGTGTGAGTCAATCAATCAACATCCCGATATCTGGTGGATCTTTCCTCGGAAGGGTTCCACGTTTGCCTAGGGTCTTTGTAAAAGCTGACGAACGTGACCCCTTGGTCGATCTAACAACCTAGTTAGTAAACTTGTTGAAGGGATATAAGGTATCCGTAGTCTATCAACATAATCAAGGTGGTTTTCATGGTACCGAGCTTCAAAACACTACTGCTGATCAAATTTTGTACAACAATATGAAGCTTTTTATCGACTCTACGTCTACCAGAGTTAATGACAATGAAGAATATCATGCTGCTTACTAATGGTTTCTAGCCTCCTGTTTTTTACGTCTTGCTTTTGTAGCTGTGTCGTGTTTCAATAAAATGTATTTGGCGTTTGAAATCTTTAATAAACTATGAATGGTCTGTGTTCAATCCAGATCAGATTAATGAATAAGGTTGTAGAACGTTTGTATTGATATCTAATATTCGACAAAATCAAAGGAAAAATCAATAAGAGAATACGCCTTTGGCCTCACAAAAATAGACTTGCTTCAATTTCACGCATATTTAAGAAAATGTAATTAATATTATTAAGAATATAAATTTCAGTTGTATTTTTGTACACTAATGGTTTACACTTTAAATAGGTACGTTGGTTGATAATAAGGCACATTAAATAGGGATATATTATAAAATTAAGAAATCAACTATGATCTCAATATAAATTTATCTTTATGGAAATGAGGGAATATAATTATGAACAGGAGGGAATATAGTTATAGAAAGTGACCTATAAATTTTTACTTGATTCAACTAGCAACAACTTTCTTTTTCTACTTTTTCTAACAAGTTTTAACTATCACAAGGATTCAAGAGTGAAGATACAAGGGTGATGCTTTCAACAGTAAAAAGTAAAATAACAAGGACAATTTCATTTGTACATAAATGGATGACAATGGAGGTTG